AATCTGCACCAAGAGGTGAGTCCTACTTACTCCAGGAACTACTCTAGTTTTTTTTTTCAGTCACTCATAGGTTCATTACACACAGAGTGAAATATTTTAAGCCTTTGTTTCTTTGTAATTTTGATGATTATGACTTGGAAATGATGATGTATCATAGAATCAAATACAGRCAATTAAGTGAACTCTGGCAAATAATGTTGTCCTATCCGAATACAGACACATGTAATATCTTTACAATTGCATTCATGACTTAATCTTCTTTATTTTGGACTTTATTCAATGACTCAATTTTGCACACAGACAAACAATAAAGGTTTTATGTATCAGAGTAGCAAAGCTCTATGATGTCAATATAAAAGTAATTAAAATATGCAGAACTAATGATGTTTTTGCATTCACATTTTTACATACATAACCATCAGGGGGTGCTACAGCACCCTCTGCACCCTTGCTTCCCACAGCCCTGTGTATGCCAGTGTAGAATGAGGAACTTAAAGGCAGTCAAACTCTCACCGCTTCGCACCGATTCATTACTATTCACAATGTTTTTGGCACGTGTCTCAAGTTTTGGCTCACCTTAATGTTTTAATCAGCCTCAAACTGAAGCTGTGTCCAAAACTCCCAGTTTCTCTCCATTCTTCCTCTCTCCCTCTCTCTCTCACACCCCATCCTCTTTTGTCTCCCTGATGGCCCGGTAAGCACACAGCACATTAACTATGCACACTCCCAAGTCCTTGGCATAAGGAAGCAGTGCTTTTCATCCTCAGCTTTAGAATAAACACCACTGTAAACTTTCTGACGGCCTAAAGGAATTTGCACTCTGGCGCGTACAGAGTTGTCCTGACTGTACAGTTTTACAGCGTATGTAACAGCTGCTGTGTAAAATGTAAACTGCACGTTCAGCTAAAACACAATAAAGATGTTTATGAAGGATTTTGTGGTTTTWAGGCAGGAAGTTATTGTGCGTTATTGTGAGCTGTGTCGCAGCAGCTTTTATCTGCAGCAGCAGCTCAGACTCAGGTACCRCGGGTCTCTTCAGTGCTCACTGAACTCCATCTGTTTTAAACATGAAATATTTTTAGATATCAATTCTCAAATGGTGTTAGATTCTTCAGTGTTGCAGAGGCCCAAATCAGAACTGTCAGGAAAAAAGCAGTACGCTACAAACCCAGTTCCARTGATGWTGGGACGYTGTGTAACGCAKAAATAAAAACAGAAAACAATGATTTACACATCCTTATCAACCTATGTTCAACTGAATACACTACAAAGACAAGATATTTAATGTTTAAATAGATAAACTTTATCTGTGCGGTTTTGCATTTGTTCACTTATTTTGAATTTGATGCCTGCAACATGTCCCAAAAAAGCTGGGACAGGGACAAGAAAAGACTGGGAAAGTTAAGGAATGCTAAAAAAAAACACCTGTTTGGAGCATTCTGCAGGGAACAGGTTAACTGGAAAAGGCTCAGTCAAGCAGGGATGGGATGAGACTCACCACTTTGTGAACAACTGCATGAGTAAATTGTCCAACAGTTTAGGAACAAACTCGCTCCGCGCCCAAGCKTCTATATGTTGACYTTGCCGCCCGTGGYTTTTCCGGGTTTGCGTGACRTCTGAGGTTAACAYGAGGAAYCAGGATTAACGGTTAACTTTAGGGTCTGTGGTCAGCGTTAGGCTCTAGGCTAGTAKAAGTTAAATTTAGGGTCTASGATGGTTAGTTTYGCGTAATTCTACTCTTGTAAAAACACATGGTCCTSCTCCGCCCCATCTCGTACAGRACGGACGTGCGGGGGTCAACATTATGACGCTTGGTCAAGCGTCWTTACCTTGACGCGGGGGGGCATGAGAATGGGCTCGATGCAAAGTGAAAAAGWGTCCTGTGGTCTKATGAGTCCACATTTCTAACTGTTTTTGAAAATCATGGATCCGAAGAGGAAAAGGACTGTCTGGATTGTTATCAATGCAAAGTYCAAACACCAGCCTCTCTGATGGTATGGGGGTGTATTATTGAYCATGGCATGTGTAACTTGTACATCTGTGAAGGCTCCATTAATGSTGAAAGCTACATACAGGTTTTGAAGCAACATATRCTCTCATCCAAGCTATGTCAAGGACGTCCTGCTTATTTCAGCAAGACAATGGCACATTCTGCATGTGTTACAACACCGTGGCTTCACAGTAAAAGAGTGTGGGTACTAGACTGTCCTGCCTGCAGTCCAGACCTATCTCCCAWTGAAAATGTGTGGAGCATTATAATCGCAAAATACCACAACAGAGACCCGTGACTGTTGAGTAAGAGAAGCTGTATATATATCAAGAATGAACAAGAATTACACCTACAAAACCTCATTAGTTAGTGTCCTCAGTACCCCAAATAATAATGAATAATTGCCAAAAATCAATAAAGTTTATCCATTTGAACATTAAATATCTTGTCTTTGTAGTGTTTTCAATTGAATATAGGTTGAAAATGTTTTGCAAATCATCAAATTCTGTTTTTAATTCTGTTTTAAYGTCCTAACATAATTGGAATTAGGGTTGTAAAAAATGTGTTATATTTTCTGTCATCTCACTTTCTGAAGAGAGACGGCAGGAGGTGCCACTTAGAGTTGAAAGAAAACAGAGTTGTACAATTAATTAGAAACAGCTTTCCTTAATGATTTTTTCTGACTGGATTAAACATTCATATTTAATGACTGTATTTGCATCAGTGCTCTAATGAAAAAGAGAAAACCATCCATATTTTCCAAGTATGCGATTGGGTCATGAAGGTAACAGGAAGTCCAGGAGGGAAACCCAGACAGCCCAAGGAAATCCCACATCAAAAAGGATATATAATCTCTYCAGCAAGTTCCAGATCTGGGTCTTTTCTGTCTGTGGGATGTGTCCAGAAAACCTCCAGAGGCAGGATAATGTGAGATTTATGCATTTTTCTAGCTTGTATTTTGGTTTTTCAGTTRTGACACAGATCTAGTGGCACTATGTGATAGTAGGAAGGTACGGACCATTAAAACGAGAGGCTTGCTTTTCTATTTGGTTATCCCCTCGCCCCCCRTGATACTTCAGAACTACTCCTTCAATGTGCAGACAAAGCCCCAAATTGTGGATYCATCTCATCCATTTTGGCCTCACTCATGTACAAGACTCTCAGGAATGTAAACATCTCTTCTTAAGGCAGGGACCCCACTCCCCTGGTCAGAACCCGCAGGGAGCATTCCATTTGAAGGGCCCGGTATTCTCCATCTGAAGCCGAACAGCTGACCCTGGTCATGTGGTTGTTTTATAGTTCATGAGACACGCCACGCTGCAGGATATATCACTGCACAGAGTTTCTCCCTGTTGGATTCTCTGCTCAAAAAAAAAAAAACCTAAATAACAGTCTCCTATCCAGTAACCACTTTGGCCTCAAATCTGTCACGGTTAATGCGCCACACTTTGTGCCAGGCAGGTTCCTCTCCACACAATGTCTTTTGCTGCTTTCATTCATGACTTTTTGGCCATTTTATTTTCTTTAAATTGAACATTTCTTTAAATGTCTGCTTCTGGGTACAACAGTCGGATTCTGGAAGGGAGCAGYTGAAGCAAAATGCAGCGTCCKAGTGCTTTTCAGCATAAACAAACAGGCCCAGCAATCACACAGTCATTTCTTATACAGAGGGGGTGAAAAGCTCTCCCAGAGGGTTGTGACAAGAAGTGGAGGAAGACTCAAAATGATGCAATTTTTTGTCATGAAACTGTGACAATGACAGCTGATTCGGGCAGTTTGGATGGATACTGGATGCTTCACTCTGATCGAGAACTACAGCCTCCGATTGGGAAGAGCGGACTCTCAACCCAGCTGCTGAAAAACATCCCACTTCTGATAGCTCTTATTTCTCAAACACATTAATATGGCTGGCTTTGGGATTATAATCTGCTATCAACTTAAATTTAAAACCAGGAATTTAATGTTACTCATGTTTGAAAAGCTTTTTGTTTGTTGTTTGCAGTAGTGGGCAGCGCTAATCCAAAAATTAGCTCTGCAATTTCTAAAGCACTTMCAAAAATATTTAGGTCCGCAAACTTCAAAAGCACTTATGCCATAGAAAAACTAGCGGAAGCTAATTTTAAAGCACAAGTTCAATTCAGCACTTACTAGCCGGCAACAATTCATGTACAACATATGCACAATACTGCCATGGTGTATGAACTCTTTTACAACTTAATTCTACAACCGTCGATTGCGGGGATGTGATTTCCTGAAACAGACCTTTGGCTCCTGGTGTAAAAATTAAAAAGTTGTTGAGGATTGCTAGTTCGGCTGCTTCTTTGTCTTTTTTGTTTGTTGTAGATTTTTCATTAAAGAAGCTTCAATAAAGCAATTTTACAACTGTTTTTTGGAAAACTGAAGCGATGCATTCTGGGTACATGACAGATTTGATTTGTGACGGGAAACGAAAGCACGCAGTACAGGAAACTATCTTCCCTTCAAAATAAGAGCTTGGATTTTAAAGTTTTCCATGTAATTGCTCCAGTTGACTCCGATTCACTAGCATAACATCTTTAAATCATTTCTGCATCTCTAATCCCACTGTTTCGACCAATTACGTCAAGTATTGAGCTCCAGCGTTTAAACTTTATTTTTTTAAAAGGAGCTCCGATTGTAAAGTAAAAATAAATCAATACATACAAAATTTTAGTATGGATTACAAATGTTAACTGTTTTTGCTATTGCCTTCCTGCTACGTAAGCAGACACAAAGCATTGTGGGAAATGAGAACCCTGACTGAAATCAACAGTCAGCAAAGATGTATACCTTCACAATAAGTGTGTTTACCTGGGAGGGGTGCTGTTGGATAGATCATGTGCTGTGATTCATTGACAGTCATACCTTCCGCTGTTCAAGATAATGATGAGTGGTAGATAATTAGTTATTAGCGGTACTGCATTTTAATTTTAGAAAGCGCAAATCTGCTTGTGAATTATAAAAATTAGTAAGACCGCTAAAGCGTTAATGAAATATTTAGGTCCGCAATTAGCGGATTTGCGCTTTAGCGGGCTGGTGCCCACCACTGGTTGTATAATTAGCATTAGCAATAACAGCCATTCAATTACAATTAATCATTGCCAAGTACATTGCTTCTAAAAATATTTTTTAATAAAGTTCAGTGTTTTGTTGTGCTGACATTGACTTTAGCCAAAAATAAGAGTTGATTTTTAAGATAGCTTCCCATGACTGAACACATCTGAAGAACATGATCACAGAGACGTAGCATTTTAAAGTTAGCCCCTCCCAAATGATTGATCCGAACAGACCAAACTGAAGAAAACCGTTTAAATACAATAAAATGTATTGATATAGAAGTATTTCCCCTGTAACACACAGCAGATGCAGCTTTATTTGAACTCTTATTTCATTCAAACCCAACATAATGTTGCTTTAAAGCAGTTTTGATAAAACGTATGTAAGCTGGAGCAGCTCAGGCTAACAGCTGTTGTGCCTGCAGACTGAAATGACTTACAGACAGTCACCTTTCAGAGCATCACCATCATATTTTTATAGAAACTTCTTTTATTTTTCAACACCTTTTTTTTCTTTCCCTTTTCCCCCCTTTGGAGCATGCTTTCAAGCTCCAGATGAATGGAGGGAGTAAAGTGCTGCACATAAATCAGTTTGGAGGTGCTCGACACAGAGGAGGAAACAGACTGCCACGTCTCCACGCGTACAAAATAAATAAAAATGTTTTGGAGCTCTGCAGAACTGAAGAATTCCTTCTCTATTTATAAAGTATAGCAGTTGGCGCGTTGCTTAATATTGCTCATCCGGGATAAAACATAGTAAAGTGATGAGAGAAATTGCAGCAACATTATTAGTTCTACTTTATCTCACAAGGATTAACAAAGTACCCCGTCTTGTTTAGACTCGTACGGAGAGATGAAACAAACATTTATCCTTTCTGTTTTTTTCAAATTAGATCAGCTGGGTTTACACCCCCACAAGCGATTTCACTTAATTAACATGCTTATGTTTTCTCTTTGCCCACCCTCTTYACAGAAAGCAATAAATCCTCCGTGCGTGTGTAATACACAAATAATTACTGAACAGTTTCAAGTCTGTGTGGGAAGCAAAACAAGTTGTAAGGATTGACAAAGCAGTGGAAACAAACTGAATACCTATTTCCCAGCGTTTTAGGCACAAACAAAGAAATGAGGATTCTTTCTGGACAAACTGAGACTAAATTTTTATATGAGGATGATCTCGCTCAGGAGGCGAAGATCACAGTGTCACACTGACGCACCAAACTGTCCCTGAAATATCATAGTTTTCACAGAGAGCAGCCCCGAACACTATCAAACTGTTTTATCTCACGACCAGGAAGACCGGAAAGGTTTAAAGTTCCAGGAGGAGAAAGATGAGCATAAACAAACACGGTGAACTACTGCATCCAAATGAGTCAGTGAATCTTTCATTGGATTTCCCTTTTAGAAACGGGTATTAAAAAACAAGAAAAGAGTGACTATTTGATTTTTGTTTTAAAATACAGAAAGTAAATTAAAAATACAAAGTGTTTCTCATTCTTAGTGTCTAAAAGAGATGAGCGAAATTTTTAAGATGACATGTTACATTTTCTGTTTCGAATAACAACAAAACAAAAACAGCTTTAAAACAAAACAAAACAAAAAAAAGGCTTGTTTGTTCACATTCCAGGACAGGTCGTGCCAAATTACTGTATCCCTAAAATAATCTGATCTCCCAACAGAAGCAATATCAAAGTTATTTAATGAAAATCCCATTACAAGTAAAAAGCATCAATATCAATTCATTTTAATGAGAGAAATGGAGGTAAACTGGAGGCAATAGCCTACAAGTATTCAGTAAAAGAGATTTTTTTGGCCAAAAGCTACATGAAGAACCTCCACAAAGCCTTTGATCAGAGTGACAGTCATCATACAGTATAACTCATAAATGAACATACATGTCTGCTTTACAGCCTTTTAGTTACAGGAATGAACGTTTTATTATGCAGAGCTGCCAGGCGAGCGCACCTCCTGGTGGGGGGACAGATTATTTTATAAAGTAATTCGGCACAATCCAAATGGTATGTCTTCACCATTAACATCTCACAAAGCAGATATCCATTCTAAAACTTGAAAAATAAAAACTCCTCATTGCTGTGAAAAAGTGGAGCAGCTGTGAGCAGCGTGGAGTTAGCAGGGACTGAGTCCAGCTGCCTGCAGACAAACCCTGTTCTTCAGGGCCTGAGCAAGCAGGAATAGCACACACACACACACACACACACACA